ACTCTTGGTAATATGTTCATCTTAATTAAGGCAATTCTTCCCATAAGAGACAATGGTATATTCTTCCATTTTGTCAAATCATTTGCGATTTCTTTTAATAGCACAGTATAGTTATCCTCCTCCAACAAACTACTTTTATTTGTGAGATTTATTCCAAGATATTTAACTTTTCTCACCACTTCCATGGTTGTTGTATCCTTTATTTCTTGCACCGTTTTAGGTAGACAGTTTTTAACTAAGATCTTAGATTTTTTATAATTCATGTTTGGTTTTTTTAAGTGTCCCTCAAAATTGACTTGTAACAGTTGATGTTGAATTATGAAATGTTTTGAATTGGTATGTCGAATTGAATTCTGAATCTTTGATTAGTTAACTCTTTTTTGTCTTAGAGTGGTTAAAGCATAGTACGAGAATAGATTTTTCTCACCTCTTCCAACATTATACACATGCACACAGTGGGCTTGTTTTTTTTTAAAAAAGTGTGGTACTCATATATAAAATTGGACCTATTTCCATCAGTTCCCTCCTCAGGGTTCAAAGAAGCTGGTATTGGCAGTGGCTCCCCAAAGTCTCAGGCAGGAAAAAGTGCTTCCTCAATACCTGTAATTCTTTAACTTAAGGTAAAGGTTCCCTTGCTCGAAAGCCAGTCGAATCTGACTCTAGGGTTGCGGTGCTCATCTCCGTTTCAAAGCCAAAGAGCCAGCGCTGTCCTAAGACGTTTCCGTGGTCATGTGGCCGGCATGACTAAACACCAAGGCGCACGAAACGCTGCTACCTTCCCACTGAAGTGGTACCTATTTATCTACTTGCAATTTCTTGCTTTCGAACTGCTAGGTTGGCAGGAGCTGGAACTAGAGACGGGAGCTCACTCTGTCATGCAGCACACTCGGGTCTCGAACTGCTGAACTACCGACCTTCCAGAGCCTGCAGTTCAGCGTCTTAACCACTTGAGCCACTGCAGCTTAAGGTGCCAAGGATTAAACCTGGAACTTTCTGCAAGGCAAATATTCCTCTCCAAAATATAGTATGTGTGAGTGAACGTATGAAACTGCATTGTACTGAGTAAAACCACTGATCCCCCATGGAGATCCAGAGCTGCATAAAATGTCATTTTCCTAGGGTTCCCAAGTCCGAGCGGCGCTGGAGCGGGGGACTCCAGTGCTGCTCCAGGAGTGCGCGCGTGCGCGTGAAGCGCGTGCACGCCGCAACCACATCACCCAGAAGTGACGCAACCACGCCATAGAGTTTTCCCTCGGATGACTGTGGCCCTGCCCCCAGCGTGCCCAGGGTGGTCGCGTCACTTCCGGGTGACGTGCACGTCGCGTGCTTTGGGGGTGGGGTTCCCCCCGGGGCCTGATCTGCCAGCGGCGGGGAACGGGCCTCTGGGGGGGGGGGTTCCCCCCCCGGGGGGGACTTGGCAAGCCTACGTTTTCCCCACCACCATTTTAGCCTGAAAACAACCACCCTATGAAGTAAGTCTGAGAGACGGACAGGCCCAAGGTCACAGTGAGCATACATAGCAGAGTGGGGAATGTGAGCCGGGCTCTCCCAGGTCCTAGTCCAGCTACACTGTGCTGGCGAACCTCCAGACAGGAAGGCTTTGCAGGAGAAAAAGGAAAACACAGAGAGGCAGCAAATGAACAGGAGCAGTCGTGGCATGATTAATCCAACTGCCTTGCATAGTTTGAAATCGGATCTGAGAAGGACAGGCTCTTATCCCAAGTAGAAAGGACAACTGTGAACAGGTTTTGTGTTGCGTGACGCCAACTATTTACGGATTGGATAAACATCCTGGTGAGATGAAGGCGCTAGCCCCAGCTTTCAAGAACTGGGATCTCAGTTGGGATGGCCCTTTGACTTGTGCTGGTGTCAAAGGGTGTCATGTCTTGGGTCAATTAAGGGCAAGTTGCTGGGAATCTTCCCAGATTTGCCTTCCTGCAAGCCTTCATGAGGTGACCCAGAGCCAAACCGTCCCTCCATGGCAGCTCACTGGGGGACAGAAGAGGCCTCCTGTTTCTCCGATCTGTCTGGAACTGCGAGGGCAGGAGGGAGAGTCCAGGGCATAGCAGGCTGTAAAGTCTGCCTAGGGACCTGTGCAGTTGAGGGGCTCTTCAACACACAACCTCTCCCGCATACTAACTGACAAAGGAAGAGATAATTTTCAGTCCAGCTCCTCCCACCCCAGCCCCCTGACGACCACTTTCCCCCTTTCTTCCGTTTTACGTACATTTATTTGAAAAACATTTGCCCCGTGTCTCTCTCAGAAACTCAAGACAGCTTTCGAAAATGAATACATTGCAATAACGCAAAAGTGCTCGTAAATGGCTCTGCTTCTATGGGGAGGGAAGTCTCGAGCGGAGGAAGACATAGAGGGGATGCTTATCAAATTTGCAGATGACACAAAGCTGGGTGGGGTTGCTAATTCTGAAGACGACAGAGTCAGGATTCAAAATGATCTAGATAGGCTGGAACAGTGGGCTGAGGCAAAGAAAATGAATTTCAATAGAGATAAGTGCAAAGTTTTACACTTAGGTACAAAAATCAAAAGCACAGATATAGAATGGGAGGGACTTGGCTTAATAGTAGCACATGTGAAAGGGATCTAGGTGTTCTGGTTGATCACAAGCGAAACATGAGCCTGCAGTGCCGTGTGACTGCGAAGAAAGCTAATGCAATCTTAGGATGCATTAACAGAAGCATTGTGTCCAGATCCCGGGAGGTGGTGGTTCCGCTCTATTCTGCTATGGTCAGGCCTCACCTGGAGTACTGTGTCCAGTTTTGGGCACCACATTTTAGAAAGGATGTTGACAAGCTCGAGTGTGTCCGGAAGAGACCAACCAGGATGGTGAGAGGGTTGGAATCCAAGTCTTACGAGGAAAGGCTGAAAGAGTTGGGTTTTTTTAGCCTGGGAAAGAGAAGGCTTAGAGGGGACATGATTGCAGTCTTCAGGTATTTGAAGGGCTGTCATTTAGAAGATGGAGCAGATCTATTCTCTCTTGCTCCGGATTGCAAGACTAGATCTAATGGGTGGAAATTACAAGGGAGTCGTTACCGGCTAAAGATCAGGAGAAACTTCCTAACTGTAATAAGAGTGGTTGAGCAGTGGGACAGTCTGCCTCAGGAGGTGGTGGATGCTCCTTTGCTGGACTTTTTGAAGCAGAGGCTGGATTACCATCTTTTGGGTATGTTGTAGGTATGTACGGCTATTTTTCGGCTATGCTCCTGCAGAGTGCAGGGGGTTGACCTGCAAGATCCCTTCCAATTCTATCATTCTATGATTCTATGAAATGTCTCTTCTGCAAATTAATTCCCTGGAAACTCTTCACAGTCGCTTCCTGCTGTTGCTCAGTGTTTGCTCTTTATGCCAGTTTGGTGTAGTGGTTAGGAGTGTGGACTCTAATCTGGGAGAACTGGGTTTGATTCCCCACTCCTCCACATGCAGCTGCTGGTGTGACCATGGGTCAGTCATAAGTTCTTTCAGAACTGTTCTCTCAAGGACAGTTCTCAAGAGAGCTCTCTCAGCCCCACCTACCTCACAGGGTGCCTGTTTTGGGGAGGGGAAGGGTAAGGAGACTATGCCACTCTGAGACTCTAAATGAAGGGCGGGGTATAAATCCAATCTCCTCCTCCTCCTCCTCTGTGGCTGTTTGAGTGTCTTCTAAGATGGTTCCATCAGCAGCCACTCATGGGACCTTGGCAGTTAAAATGGCAGCTCTCCTGGCTGGAAAAGAGAGAGGTGCAGAATTGGGGCATCTGGTGAAGGGACTAGCAGGTGAACACAGGCAGGCCCATCTTCTCCCCTCCTCCAGCCATGAGGCCCTGGTAGTTAACTCTTGCTTTTCTGGCTCCCATGGCCTGAACTCCTGGGTGGCCTCCCTCCTAGTGCTGTTGTTGCCAGCAAGCCCTCCAGCCATTGCCTTATCTGCATGATAAATAAAAAATGTGATGTCACAGCAGGTTCTCTGGGACATCAGATAGGTTCTGGAAACTGGAGGGGCTGTAAATTGTAAGGGGAAGGGGGGAATGAAAGGTAAGTGTAAAATGTTCTTCTTCCCCATCTTGGAACCCTGAGCCCTCTAATTACAAATCGTTAAAATCAAATGAATACATTCTATACCCCCCCCCCAAAAAAAACCCCACATGAATCTCCTGCCTAGGCCTTAACTTTTCCAGTCCTCCTTTCCTTATCCCTGGTTTCCTCTACCTGTCTTTCCTTGCCATTCAGCTTACAAAATCACCAGAGCCTTCTAATCCTAAGAGCTGGTGTAGCATAGTGGCCAAGAGCCAAAGCTATGAATCTGGTTGGCCCCTGGTTCATATGTCACCTGCACCATGCACTAGATGGCAAGCGATCTTCATAGCTGCAATATGAGGATAATAATAATAATAATATAACATAGGTAGGTCAGTAGTATTATCTTGTAAGATTGTTGTAAGTATAGCAACATGATAATATATGTGAAGTGCCTTTTGAACGCTGTAGCTGTAAGTCGCTCACTTAACAAAGAAAGTCGGAGAGTGATTCAGCAAGAACACAACTTTATTCTTCAACTCGAACACAACTCCAACACAGATCAACATCTGATAGCCAGAACAGCTTTCACATTGCAGCAGTCCTGCTGTTAAACTCTCCCGGCTAATGTAGCCACACCCACTGTACCAATACCAACCAATAAGGTTGTTCGCATAAGGACCAATCACGGATGTTCCCGCTCAGGGAGCTTGCTTGAAAGTGATTGGTTAGGCGCTTCCTGGGCTAGTAACACGATTGGATGGATTTGGATCCTAGCCCAGGACGAAGCTTTACATTACACTTCAGTTAGATGTTTCACAACATATCATGCATTCAAGGCAGCTTTGAATACACTACAGTAGCACTCTAGGCGTGTTTTATAGCAGTGGTAGAGAAAGGAGGGGAAGTCACAAATCCTCAGGGCTTCTGCTTTGGCCGCTGCACTGCTTGAAGTCATTTCAATTCTGTCTGTGTTTCTTTTGATTAGATCCTGGAACGGACTCTGGAACCAGATAGTTCTGATGAAGAGCCGCCTCCAGTTTACTCACCCCCTTCCTACGACATGCACATCTTTGACAGGCTGTATCCTCAAGCGCCACCAACCCCACCCCCCAGGTAAGTGGAAATGTGTTTTTTGGAGTTAACAAAGGTCAGCTATTTATTCAAGCTGAGAGGGCTGTGCAGGACTATGGTGGGAGGGGGCGGGTTTTGATCCACTGGGAATTTTCTCCCTGACTCAGATCAAGGCCTGGAGATCTCCAGGAATGACAACTGATCTGCAGACGACAGAGATCAGCTTCCCCTGGACAAAATGGCTGCTTTGGAGGGTGGACTCTATGGCACTGGGCCCCACTGCGGTCCCTCCCCTCTCCAAACCCCTCCCTCTCCAGGGTCAACCCCCAGATCTCTAGGAATTTCCCCGCCCAGAGTTGGCAGCTCTAGAGCAGGCCAGCCCCCACCCCGTTCTTTATTTTTCGATTGACTCTCAGGTGCCCTCAGCATTCTGTATCTCCTAAAGCTTGCACAGTTCTTGTCAGGCCATTTTTTGAGAGTTTATTTTCAAGTTTTTTCAAAAAAATCTACAAATTCATTTTTCGGCACACCTGGGAAGTCTCTGAGTGGGTACGGTCTCTGAGTGGCCCCTGTTTCACTGCCTCACTGATAGACATTCAGACACAATGTTCAGTCAGAGGGAGAATGATACTTGAGCACTTTTTCTGTCACCACGGCTGTTCATTGCTGACTAGAGAGCCAGTGTGGTGTAGTGGATAGAGTGTTCCGTTCCCAGAAGACCCCTGGGTTCAGATCCCTTCTGAATGGTGCATTTAATTGGGTAACCTCTGGCCAGGTGCCATATAAGATCGCCAGCCCCCCGGTGGGAGCGGAGGAACCCCTGCTTTTGCAGGCTCTTACCTGCCGCTGGCAAAGTGGCCGGCAGGGGAAATCCCACCCCAACTGACCTTTTCAGGCCTACTTCGGGTTGGGGTGACACTCCGGTTTTTGGCAAAACTCTATGGTTTGAAGCCGAATTCACCATAGAGTTTGCCCAAAAACCAGAGTGCCACCTCCAACTGGAAGTAGCCTGAAACTGGAAGTAGGCCCAAAAATGCCAACGTCAGACCCCAGTTGGCCAGGTAAGTCGACCTGGCAACCCTATATGTAAATCTCACCTACCTCACAGAGTTGATGTGGTGGCAACTTAGGAAAAGACCACATGTATGCCACCTTCAGCTTATTGGAGGAATACTTTTATTATTAATTTATGTCACTTTTTCTGATAACAAACTTGATGGTCCCTTTCAGTAGAGCAGCAAAACAGGGCCAGTGACCAAAATGGGCCACAGCAGTTTCTATGTGCTCAAAGAATTCTCCAGGCTATGCAGAAAAAATATTACTTTATAAATTAAAACAAACAAATACACACAAACAAACCCCACCAAGTCAGCAAGGACTGTGCATGCATCTTCCTGCCGGGAGCCATAGAATGCTGAGGTTAGTTTGACATCAGTTAAAGGAGCAGAAAGGGGCTATAGTGGCTTAGAGGTTAAGACGCTGAGCTGGAGACTGGAACTACGTGACGGAGTGAGCTCCCATCTCTGGCCCCAGCTCCTGCCAGCCTAGTGGTTTGAAAGCAAGAAACTGCAAGTAGATAAATAGGTACTGCTTCAGTGGGAAGGTAACAGTGTTCTGTGTGCCTCGGCATTTAGTCATGCCAGACACATGACCACAGAGAAGTCATCGGACAGCGCTGGCTCTTCGGCTTGGAAATGGATGTGAGCACCGCCCCCTAGAGTCGGATTTGACTGGCTTTCGAGTAAGGGAAACCTTTACCTTTAAAGGAGCAGGAACTAGAAGGAGGGTGGAACTGGCCAGCTGAGGCACCCCAAGGAGGGAATTTGGTGGCCAGACCCCAATTTCCCATCCCCCTCAGACTATGTAAATTGTGATAAACTGTTAAGGGCTGTGACCACTTTGCTTGCTAAAAGAGTTGTGGTTGGAAAATGAAACAGCACCGGAAGAAAAGTGCTTCTTCTGATCCTAATTAATTCCACACTCCTAAGGATTCTTCCAAGCTGCGAAGGGGGCAAAGAACTGGAAAAACCTGTAATATGCTGTACTAGCAAGTAGCCAGTGAAATCAGGGTCAAGGGAGGCGTACTGTGAGGCAAACAGACCACCCCCCCAGCCTCCCCTTGCCCAGACTCCCCTCTCAAGCCCAAAGAGGGAGATAAAAATACCCTCCTCTGGGCTAGATGACCAGCTCCTGGTAAGCCTTATCCTGAGTCTCAGTGCTGGTTTGCTGAGCTTCGGGGACAGGTGAGAAGGAAACCACAGTCTGTCACAGGGGTCCCCAGTCTTTTAAAGTCTGTGGGCACCTTTTGAATTCTCTTGCAGCCTGATAGGTGGAGCCAGTCACAAAGTGGTTTAAACACCCACACAACCAATCAGATCTCCAATGGCCCATCAGAAGCCCTCCTGGGCAAAAGCCCCAACTGGCCCCGCCCACTTTAAAAAAAAACCTGGCAGATACCAGGAAAGGTGTCAGTGGGTGCCACAGCACCCAGAGGAGCCACAGTGCGGACCTCTGATCTGTGTACTCACTGATAGGAAGATTTCCTGGTAGTTTGTTTCTCCTTCTTCCCCTTGAATCCTCCGAGACCCCCAGCTTGTTGCTCCTGTTTACTATTTAAGGCTGATTAATCACAGTAATCAATGAAGAACTTTTTTGACAGACTAAAACCACCACCATTTAATTGAGCGACTCATTAAAAAAAATTAAGGTGTGTTTATGTAATTGCAGATGTCTTAGAAGAGGTATCCTATCCTCTCCCGGTAGGGAATGCCTCTTCTGAGATGATTCTTGAATTAACTGATCTCTCATCTAAGATGAGCCAGTTTGGTGTCGTAGTTAAGCGCACGGACTCTAATCTGGGAGAACCGGGTTTGATTCCCCACTCCTCCACATGCAGCTGCTGGATGACCTTGGGCGAGCCATAGTTCCATCAGAGCTGTTCTCTCACTCAGCCCCACCTACTTCTCAGGGTGTCTGTTGTGGGGAGGGGAAGGGAAAGGCGTTTGTAAGCCGCTCTGAGACTCCCGAGTGAAGGGCACGGGGTATACATTCAATCTCCTCCTCCTCCTCCTCCCTCCCTAGTCTCTCTCACTCAGGAGGGAATTCCTCTTCTAAAATGGCAGCTGCCAGGACACCTATATAGATTATCGAAAAAGTAGGGAAGTTTTCCCCCCTTCATAGCATTTTATCTATTCCTGTGCAAATTTTGTTAAGCAACAATTCTTTAAACCATTAATAATCCTAATGATATTCCCACCCTCAAATTCTGCACATTCCAGATGGTTGAGGAATGCCTCCTGGAAGAGGGTTCTCCCCCCCCTCCCCGCTTTCATCTCCGCGAGGAATGTCCTTATAAAAGGAGTATTCATCACTGCCTCTTACCAACTCCACCAACTTTGTTAAGCGCGCTGAGATGAGAAATCCTCAGCTTTGAGACACACCGATAGCATCAACAAGCCAAGCCCTGTATATCTGTGTATTTGGCTGCCTCTGTTCCTTCCTTGTCGGTTTCTTGCTCCTTGGCTTCATCCACCTCTTTCCAAGAGGCCTTCTCTCGAGCATGCCAGTTAAGGAAGTCTGGGCGGTTTTGTCCAATCTCCTAAAATCCAGGCAGAGTGGAGAGTCCAGAACTTCATTGAGTGGGTGGTTCTTGGCCTCCTCTTTTTCCATTGAGGTTATTGGATTCCTTTCCTGATTTACACAGAATGCTTTCAGTACAATGTACTTACTGTTATTCTATCTAAGGGCTGCGCAGGGGGAGGGATCAAATTCTGCATCCCAGTTGCTGAATTCTGCAGCCTGCATAAAGTAGGTACCGGTAAATTAGTAGTACACAATCCCAAACAGAGTCCTTTAAATTCATGGAATTCAAAGGGTTTAGAAGGGGATATCTCTGTTTGGGATTGCATTATAAGTCATATTTGCATATAGTGGCTAGTTTTGCATAATTCTGCTTTCGCTGTTCATGTAAGTAGGGAATCCTGCTCTGTCCCCCTCCCCATCCATATCTCTGATTTATGAAATTTCACCTGGCATTACCCAATATTTTGCTGGTAATCTTAAAGGATGGGAACTTGGTGAGTGGTTTGCCGCCCCCAAGGGATAAGTGCATTTTTCAAAGTGCCAGATTATATACCTAGTTACTGCGTGGCACAGTTGTGGTCTGGGGGCAATCTGATCGCTGTGCTGGTGCACCCCAAAATTCTGTGCTAAGGAAATCTAGTGTCTGCAGCCAGCTTGGTGTAGTGGTTAAAAGCGGAGGACTCTAATCCGGAGAAGCGGGTTTGATTCCCCACTCCTCCATGTGAAGCCGGCTGGGTGACCTTGGGTCAGTCACCGCTCTCTCAGCCCCACCTACCTCACAGGGTGTCTGTTGTGGGGAGAGGAAGGGAAGGTGATTGTAAGCTGCTCTGAGACCCTGTCGGGTAGTGAAGACCAGGGTATAAAACCAACTCTCCTTCTCCTTCTCTTGCTTCTCCTCCTCCTCCTCTTCATGTTGGTCTTACTCGTGTGTGTGTGTGTGTGTGTGTGAGTGCTGTCAGGTTGCTTCTGACTTATCACTCTATGGATTAGTGACCCCCAAAACATCCTATCCTTAACACAGCTTCTGACTTATGGCGACTCTATGAATTCGTGACCCCCAAAACATCCTGTCCTTAACAGACTTACTCAGATTTTGCAAACGGAAGGTTGCGGCCTCCTCCGGGCACATGTTTGCCTTTTTGCATGTGTTCCTGGGACAGTCTTAGGAACTGATGGGCCCTGGGTTCAGGGAGGACAAAAGGCAAGGCTTCTTCGTACACAGTATGTAATTCATATGTGTCCGTGTGTTAAACGCTGTCAAGTCGCTTCCAATTTATGGTGGCTTTATGGATTAGTGGCCTCCGAAACACCCTCCTCTCCTTAACAGCCTCGCCCAGCTTGCAAAGGGGGGAGGGCCTTTGTGGCTCCCTTGGCTGAGTTGATCCGTCTCCTGTTGGGCCTTCCTCTT